GTCTCCTTACAGTTCCGCCTTTTCCTCTGAACATCGTCTCAAACTCTCTTTTTTTACAACCCAGTTGTTGCCTCTACTCGCATTTTACCATCCAAAGAGTTTCTGAAAGTCTACGACCTCCTTCTCCGAATCCCTGTCAATCACAGCCACAGAAAAAGGACGGCATGTTTCAGACCCGTACGACTGGGTTCGCTTTATTTCAATTTTTTCAAATTGGATAACCCTTTGAACTCTGACGCACACTCGTCCTCCCTTCCCTTCTCTCATAATGTCGGAATTCATGATAAAGAGACGCCTACAGCCAATTAAGACACGAGTTCAGGACGTCAAGTAGCGGATAGACCCTGTGACACTCCAAGACCATATCCACAGCGAGAGTCGCAAAGCAAGCCATGTCTACCTGAATACCTGCACGCGTACGGGGAATGCAGACTTGTATGTAAATAAATGATCATCCTCGCTTTGGGATGAGATATGACTGGCTGAAAGAACCTTGGGCAAGTCAGCAAAGGCCCTTTCAGCATTGATCAGTGGTGGATCGCTCTCTATTCTGCAGTCGGGTTCGATCGATTAGTGGCTTTCATTGCGTAAAAGGCATACACATACTTATCGTGACGCGTGATGGCTGAGATTCAAGCGACTCGTGGGGAGTACCTCGAGCAGTGCGGGTTTTGTATTTTACCCAAACCCAATGCGCATAGATAATTTTCGCTAAGAATTTAGGGCAAGGCCATCGTCAATACGGAGTTCCATCCTCCCATGCCCAAGGCATTGTTTATTCTATAAAAGTGGCCACCTTCGCGCGAAAGATGGCAAATATGTATAGCCACCCTGGTGGTCTCCTAAGCAGATAAGGGTCGTACTACCTATTCTGACAAGTTCTTGTATCAGCCGACATTAATCCAGACGAGCAAGGTGGACGTGAGGAGATGGATATACATATAAGTCACACTACGTTGCGGTCTCTTCCTATCAGGACTCTTCCCTAATTTGTCATCTGTGCCTGGCAGCAGCAGTTCGGTCTAGGGGCGCGAGGGTACTGCATGGGTGTCGTTAGGACGAAAATAGGCAAATCTACGCAGGCAGAATAGCATCATTGATAATGACAAGGACGGCTGGAATGGCCACTTTTGGCTTACTAGCCATCGTCAGCCAGACACACCCAACCCCGAAGCGTGAAACACCTGCGGCCTTGTGCGGATCAAATCAATTCAATATAAAAAAGCGCCAAGACCAAATATATGCTATACTACCCACTTGAATTTCGATCAGGATTCTTCATGATTTAGATCATCAACTGTACTGCAGATCTTAGTAAAGAGTATGTGACGTTTATAGGAGGGAGAATTTTGCATAACGCTGCAGTTGCTCCTAGGAATCGGAGTATTTTAATTGGGTCAGCTTTCTATCAGACCTTGTTAGTGTTTTCACCAAAATGTGAATGAAGGGATACTCTCGAGTAGGACTCAGAAACTAACTCTATGGGGTCACTTTAAAACTTAGCAGTCTTTACAAATCACATGACATGAAGGACGCGAAAAAAGGCCTTACAGTTCGGCCTGCATGCCATTGGTGCTATCATTCACTAGGCTGTAGTCTAGCGAAATCGGTACTAAAAATTCTGCGCATGAGCAGCGTCCGCCTGCAGCCGGGTGGCTTCATGGCGCGACTGGAATGGCCATTTTTGGCTTGTTAGTCGTCGTCAGTCAGCCACAACCAATCCCGAGGTGTGTAACACAACGGTTTGCGCCACTCTACCAAATCCAGACAGGAGCAAAAGCCAGCGGAGCGTCACTCCAAAAGACTTGGGTCGGACTGGGGAATACGAACCTCCTCAGTACTGCAGGTGACCTCACGCAAAACTCCAGGGGGGAGTTCCTATTTCCATTAACTTGAACTCCAGCTCTTCTAGTCCTAACGCCAACCATCAAAAACCTAACCTTGACCATCATCCCAATCCTAACCCTCCTAACTGCAGTTCGACCGTCGTTATTGACGATATCCACCCTGTGCCCCAGAACAAGGTGAAGCAGGGACGGTGAATTGTGCGTGAATTATAGTGAATTTAGACTTCCACAGCGTCTACCACACTCTCTCCTCCCCGCCTGGATCCGGCATCAAAACATAGTCAGGAAAGCCGGAGGTGGGAGGGCGCTGGGGGATGGGACGGTCGAGTCCACGCCTTGGCGTTCCACTCCACACTCCCTGGTCCACAGCAAATGACCAGGCTTCCAACCAACAACGAAAAGGTGGCTGCTACGGTCGGAGCCGAACCTAGGTGAGCAGTCACACCTGCTTCGGATTCCACGGAGTGGGAGTGACATAAAGGTTACATTAAGAAGGAACCATTGTAACCTGACTTTTAGACTACCAGCCAGCCATTCCACAAAACCACACAACACTGGGCCGACTTCTAGCTCCAACTCCCCCCTCCCCTCCAACACTAATTCTAGCACGCCCACCCTGGAATCTATGGACAGGCCGGCGCTAGTATGGGAGTTTATATGCCCGAGCCCAACCAAATAATTAAAATGTGATGCCGGGATGTCAGTGGGTACGATCCGAAAAATTCAAAATTATACTGCCATCAAGGTCACGCGCGAAGGTCCTTGTCGCTTTCAGGGAAGTAGCCGTGCGTTGGACCATGACACTTCGTACTTGTAAATGTTTGACGTCCTTTGTTGCTGTCAAACGCAATATAACTGTCGTCGAATGATCCGTATTTCCACACCACTACTGCGAGTTTCCGCGGAATACAGCAACAGTTTTTGTTGCATTAGTTCTTTGGTATTTGCGGAGATTACCTGCTGCAGTCCCGCGCACTGTGCAAACAGAGCAGACACCACCACGCACATTACCTGCAATATATTCCACCATCAGGGGCTGCTTCGTAGCACATACCTATCAATAGAACAGGGCCTAGAAGTTATTCGGGGAGACAAAGGCAGTCCGTACTTAAACGGATTGGTGACTTTTCAACGTGGTACATAAATCACACCGTTATCTATCAGTTGAGCCCATAGGTGGAACACGATTCTGCACAGTTCATCTGACTAATTGAGAAGAGGAACGAGAACACGAAAATTAATCAATGAAATGCCACAGTAAACCGGTTTTAGACAGAACATCTACTCCAGGATTTTTTGAAATTTTGCAAGAGCCTCTTCATCAGATGTACTCGTTCAGGAAATTAGTTTTTTTTCTACGACGTGATTCCAATTTCAGATGAGCCGACAAATGGGACCGGAGCCATTATAAAGGGGAAAAACTACAATACGTGACCTATCTCAGCAAATCTGATAACGGAAACTGATGCGAGAATTTCTGGACGTCTTTAACGTTGCACATTTTATTCGCTCATCCACTTCCTTTAATAAAGTGTCTTTTTCTTGTGCAAAAATGGTCTTAACGTAATTATATCAACTAAAATATCAGTACATTTTAGCGAAAATGGACGTTGGAATATATTCGTGCCATTTCCTATGCTAATACATGTCCTAGACTCCAGTTACGCATCTCAGCGACTTTTTCAATGAAAGGATAGTGATTTGCCCGCGAGAGTTTTAATAAACTGATTTAGCCAGACTTGAAAATTTATTTCATGTCCAATGCTAACCATGTTAATCAACTTGCAAACACAAAGGTTATTTTAAGAAAACCAGAGGTTTTATAAATTCCTAAAAGTCAAATTATCCGATCTGTGCGATTTGGTGCCCCAA